TCTCGTCTTCATGCTTTGTACCAGAGCTTATGATACTACCCGCTTAGATTTATCCACTCAAGTCTTCAACTTACGTCCTTTTAGTCATAGTGTTACTGATTCGCTTAAAAGTCGTTGGTGCGTGGTTAAACATTATCTTTTTGAGTTCGCTATGATTCATCCCTCACCTATTACATACGTCATATAAACAGTTGAGTTTACGTTTTAGTTAATGTGAGGTTCAATCAGTTGGTATTTTCTCATAGCTTCAGATTTACAACCTTTTTCTCTTAAGTGTCCATCCTCAAACGCATACGATTGCAAATGCATAGCCATTGGTTCTCGCTCTCAATCAGCCCGTACTTACTTGGAACGACATTTAAACGAATTTAAAGGTTCATCTTTGGACGATTTAATTTGTCATGGATTGAAGGCTTTAAACAGTACGTTGCCAAATGAAGTTAGTTTGAATATGAAGGTGAGTTTATTTTCATTAAAACCGATCCCATGAATGTTTTCTGATATCAAACTCAGCCCAACCTTCCTCATTTTCGGGAATTAGCTAGTATATTGATTCCTATAAAGTATGATTATACCCAAGCGCCCGGTAAATGAGTATCTACTTATATTTATCAAGTTTGGATACATTTGAGGAAGACATGTGTGCTATTAAATCCAAGAGTCAGGTCACTGAAGATCTTTATGACGTTCATCGCCAAGTTTACTAGTATACTGATCATTAAAAAAAGCAAAATGGTACACTTTATAGTTTATTATATTGTATATTTATTTGAACACATAAATATTGGTACAAGAGGGCACCATATATATATGCGCCACACAAAGCAATGAAAATGGGGAGAGAAAAAAAAAGAACGATAACGACTAAACTAGTGTAAGGTAGTTTAATAATAATAATGGGAAGACGGAATGTTGCAATCAAAAGAAATCTTTCAGTTAAGGAAGACACAGTCACTTTTTATGAAGAAAGTAAACGAAGGTTACAGCAGGATCGCCACTGGCTTCTATTCTGAGCCATATCTGATAACGTTTCTAGCCACTGTGTAGTACCATCTCTCGGACCCCAACCAAGGAGTCGTGAAAGACTAACAGAAGCCAGCCCTTTTCAGATTTCATTCATATCCCGACACCATGTCATACACTGACCAATCGTTGGTCACCGGCTACCATGGGACTGCATTTCCTCACGATGCTCCGCTGCCTTGTGGGTCAGGCCTTTAGGTCAAAGGCTCGGGGTGTGGCCTCCTAAGGAAACCGCCTGTTTCGGTCTGGGCACCCGGGCAGTATCACAACCCACACACAAATAAAATGAAAATGACACTTTATAGTCTCATTACTTAATTCATCGGCTTGAAGCTAGTCGAAGTCTAGTTGGACATTGTTTTCCACTAATTCCTAGGTCAATGGTTGCGGTCCGCGTGACTATCGTAACCAATGGTTGGAAACTCTTGGTGACGTGGCTCAGAATCAATCACAATGGCGTCGGTGTATACACTTTCTGTCTTCCCTTAAACTAAGAGATTAAAATCGCTTCGTTCTTTCTTCCTGTACCATATCCTTATCGCAATCTTCCCTTTATATATTAACACCTCTAAATTAACTACTTTTATGAATCCGGTGTCCATCTTGTTGTGTTAATGAGGTATGGCAACTTGGACCGATTCATATATGTGCCTGGTCCTACGTTGTAGCTGACTGACTGACAATGGTAGTATGTAAAAAATTATTGGAGCAATGGTTTACAGTAATATTCTAGTATGTTGTAAAGGTTTTCCATCTACATGAAATAATATCGTCCAACATATTTCATCACTGTATAAATTGATTTGTTTGACGCTTCCCAGTTTTTGTGTACTGTCGAACAGGAGTAAAATAACTGACGATCTTCGATACCAGATACGTCTTTCACCCATAACCCGAGTTATTCAAAAAAATCTTTTAGGAGAAACATAACAAGGTTGATTTACATCCAAGTTAGTTCAATTACATATCAATCAAATGTCTGATTACCGACTACAAATTTACCGTCTGAGCAATCATCTCTTGAGCATAAAATCAGTGAATTTATGTATACAATAAAAAAGTACTAAAAATCAAATAACTAATTTCAGACTAAATGAATTAATACATAAAGTTCCACTAAAAATATCATAATGTACTACGCAAATGTAAAGACTGGTTTTACCATAAAGCGTTATATTTGGAGGTTTAACATTTTCATCACAGACGTCGATCATTATAAGAAATCTTGATACGTTTTCATTTTAACACGCACCTAATTTATTACGTTATTCACTGTCTGGTTTGTATTTCTAGGATTGCTAACACATTTGTACCTGGCTCTACGTTGATCATAATTGATTGCGTGGCTTCTAGGCCTTCATCAGTCAGCCATTCAATTCCGATTCCACTAAATTATCTCTTAAATACTTACGCGCTGCTTAAATTCCTAAATTATTTATTGTTCGGATATAGCTATAGTCCAAATACAAAATTCCTCACTGCTGATGTTTTTAGTAAACACTTTGTAGCCCGCTGATCTGACTCCTACTTAGATGGATGTATGAATATACTATGAACATAAATCTCTCATTTAGTTCTGTTTATTACCTAGGCTAACCCCGTTTGTGTGACGGTGGTAATAAGAAACCAAATACGGGTTGCACTGGAGGGATTTATTTTAAGCATTCGTCTATCCAGACAGAAGCGAAGGCGAATGAGCCAACTTGTTTTGATCAAGCGTGACTCGACATTTGTAATCAGACAAAAATAAGTTACAGATATGTGATAGGTAAGATAAGTAATGTCCTCACATACGTTCATCTAATAACAGTCAAGGTTAATAAGCGAATAATTAACAAGGTCAAAATGTAAGTCATCTACGTTGTAGCTGACTGACTGACAAGAAGAATGAATAGATTGGTTTGTCCGAAAGCTAGAATAACTCATATGGGCTTGAAATGGTACTAGACACTACACAGAGATAGATTTGCTGAATATGCTTCTACCAAAGTCACTCACGTTCAACCACTAAGTGACTTAAAACGATTCGCGAACACTACTACATTGAAGGACTTCAGTGTTTATAACTGATATCTAATCTTTAGTATATGTCCACATAAAGGATTGTAAATCAACCCTAAAGTGCCTCTACGAACACCGTCAAGGTAGGAGGTTGATATGGCTTGTGAATCTGGACAAATGATATTAAGATACTGTGTTTCAACTAACCGCATATGATTATGCAATTTCTTCCACTGTTGTTATGAGATGAATTCAAATAATCATTTAATACCAATGTCAGCTTTTCTTTGCGCGTCGCCTCTTCTACGTTCTTTACTGTCTAGCGCCCCTTAACCAGTTCATTTCACTGTACATAATATGGTTACGAACAAGAATGAGTTTAGAACAAAGCCAATTCCAAATGAAACCGAAACAGAATGTGCAAAGAAAAAAAAGCATAAGAGTTTGTAAAATTAAAGATGTTTCAAGTACTTGGTCTTTTCAACCAGGGTTGAATAGTTAGCAATGCATCAGCATATTTAAACTTGGGTCTCATTGAGCGTGCAGGCTAAAATGTAATGAGTCAGTCCTACCAATACAACTGTTAAGATAGTAGTCGATTTTCTCTAATCTGTTAGTAAATATTTTTCACTCACTAAATAACTGTATTGACAAAATATAAACATTCTCTATAATATTTTGACTGATACTTTAACTCTTCTACATAATTATGTGTGAGTCCCGAAACTCGAATATCATTTACGTTGGAGTAGTTAGAATCATTCTACTACTGTAATTAACACATGATGAAAACTTGTAACTCAATGAATAAAAGTCTAATAGTTTTATGAATTGTCTTAATTTCAGTAGCATTACATTTAGTGATTTTATATACTACAGTAAAAATATGAATTTTCATATCTTATTTGGTATTCTAGAATTGTTCACTTGCTATAGTTGGAAAAGACATGAAATTCACAATATTTGAAGATGACGATATTGATCCATATTTGAAGTTATTCAAAGCTACTCAAGCGGATACACCAACTATCTCCGATTCCGGTCCTACTCCAATGGAACAGGATCAGTCTGCGTTGTAACCGGCTATCTATGTATATGGTATTGTTTATGTACTGATGATCTAACGACTATGCTGAGTCCTAACTTGTTTTTATTTTCGATTTGTAAAAATAAGAAGTTAATAAAGTTGAGTTATGAAATTCATATGTTTTCTTCCTAATATTTTCTTTTTATATAGAAAACAGTTGTGCCAAATATGTTTGATATTTTCTTAAACTTATGTAGAGAATTTTTGATGTCTTTAAGTTTTAGCTTAAACATTGTGTTTATTAGACAGAGACTGTGATATTCAACTGGCTTGTGTTGAACTAGCTTAGTTAAAAGTTACTGGATTAGATGACAAATTCAATAATAAGTTTTTAAACCTCTATCGACTGACATGACTTAAACTTATGTGTTCCTTGTACCCATCCACTAGCTAACTTGATGATTAATGATGGTTGATAAAAAGGTAGTGGTTTTCAAAGCAAAACAGTATCAGTCTACTACATTTTTGGCTGATCCGTTTTGATAGACACAGACGATCTGTATGTAGTCACCACAATAATTATGATGAAATTACTACAACATTAGAAGACATTTTGTCCAAGCGATCTACTTTCCGTTTTTTTCAAAGATGGGATAGTCTTTTGTCTATATTTAGACTAAACCATCGTACTTCACTGAAGTTTTTTCTTTCCTAGTTTCAAGTAGGGTTTGCGTAATTCATCTAATTAGTGATAATTGCTGACTTTGTTTTATAAAACAATGAATCGACCTGCAAGAACTCATATTGTGAATACGTTAGTGATCTTCCCACTCCCTCAGGTTTCGATCCTCAGATTTTCTAATTCTCATCAAATAGACAGCTTTTAATCTATTAAATAATACCATTCTCTGGAATCGCTTGTCGAAGTGAAAACACCCTAAGAATTTCTCTACGATTGACAGGAGTGTGAAATCAATTTTACATTGCTTCCAAATAGTGGATGTGTTTGGATTGTTCAGTGTTGTCATTCCTATCTAGTTCTCTCGTCTTCCTCAAAACAACTGAGAAAGCTGTACAGTGGTTTGAATCTGTTGTTTAATGGAAAATCGTCAACCTTGAAAATACGGTTGTAACTGTTTCGCTATGCGATCCCATATAAGCTAATTATTTCACACTTAATTATTCAGCAACCATTGCTTGTAGGTACCGTATGTAAGTTTTACCATCAATATGTGAAATAATTTTAGAAAACTTGCAGAGGCCTGTGCCTTCGCTTACTTTTTGTAACGAGTTGTTTGGAATAGTCAAGGAGTTCATGCTAGTGTGATATTGCTTGGGGTAATAAAGGCAGAATAGATGTAGAGAAGTCTCATTCACCTTTGAAATCATCATTATGTGAATCGGAAAGTTTTGGTTCAAATGCACAAACATATCAAAAATTGCCTCAAGTTATAAATATAGAGTGCTAGATGTCACCTCAGTGATTTAAATGTTAAACGCTTGTCTGAAGGTTTCAAGTTCGACCCCTGGTGCGATCGTGAATATTCACTGATGTAGAATCCTTTACTGGCACTTAGCATCTGTTTAGTTCTTCCTGAGTCGGTTTGTGATTCGTCTTTTTTTCAAATTCAAGAGCCTCTAAAATACCTCATGATCACAATCGTTTTACTAATACTAATGTATTGTAGTCAATAATACACATGCAAAGCGTAAGGTAAATGTTTTCACTATTGCACCTCCATCGGGAGTTATATTTACACTGACTTGGTAAAAACATGGGGGAAAAGTAAAAGTTTTATACTGTAAAAACCGAGTCGTTTTTGTCTGCATACCTGTGCTACACAATCAGTGTAAATTCAAGATTTCTGAAAGTCCGAACTCTGCAGCTCCGTATAGGTCCGTCTACTAGCTAGTGATTATTAGGTGTACTACCGAGCTGACGATGAAGTGGTCATGTGTGCTCATTATATTCCCACCCTCAGATACTATGCATTGAAGCAAAGTAATATTCTTAACTTGAATATATAACCGGCTTGTGTCAGTTCGTTGTAAAATGTTAAATAATACTCTATAATTCAGTTTTACAAGCCTCCCTTACAGTTCCTATGCAGCTATTGTACTTATTCTAGAGACAATTCTCCACATTTGTACTTGTTCAGTGTAGTTTCTTCGGCAAAATGTATTCATTCTAAAGGTTAAGAGTTTCTGTAGTCAGTCTTTATATTCAGTATACTGTTATATAACCCGTGATCATTTCATAAATAAACTGATTATTTGACTGAGTTATGTAGGCAGCTGCAGGCTACCTGGTTAGAGTCTGTGTGATTATCGTATCCAATAGTTAAAGACTGTGTGACCTGATTCGGAATTTTCCCGACAGCACAGATGCATTCAATAGTTATATTCCCTCAAATTCCAAGATTTTGAATAACCTTATGATTGTTTTTTTAAGTACCACGAATCCATATTTTATCTAATCGTATCTTAGATACCCAGTCTTTTCAATTACCATTAATATTGTCACTACCTCTTCTTCCCTGGGATTTGTCTCTATAATTCCATCTCTGTGCAGATAGATTGTCGGCTTTTAGCGATATACACATGTTCCAGGTTCTGTGTTGTATATGACTGATTGTATAAGCTGGCAATGAAGTAACTTTCTACTGTAAAGACAATTTATTTGATTTAGTGAACAATTTTTACTTTAAATTTTAATACCACAGTAGCTAACTTCTTGTTTCCTGTTTTCTCTCTACATTTTCAGGCTTATGTAACTAGTACTCAATTTTGTAATTGGCATTTTTCTCCTTCAGAATTAGTTAATATTCGTTCAGATTGTAATACAACTGCTCTTAAACGATTACAATCAATTAAAGAAGTAGAAATTAAAAATACTAATGAAAATGTAAACAATACATTAACTGTTGTTGGATTAGATCCTGATCAAGAATTCAAAATTGTTAAACATTATGTATATTTAATGAAAATTTTATTTGATAAATTTACACCTCCGTTACCAAATGAAGTAAGTTTTTGAACTGATAATCAAATTTGTTCAGTCTTTTATTTTACTATTTTTAAAGTTTAAGTGTAATTATTTTCATTGATATACAGAGGTATCACACTAATTTCAGTACCAGAGTGCTACTGAACCAGATAAAAGACGCATTAGATACCCAACTTCGAGATCAACGGGCTAGATTCCGCAAGGATCGATCGTGCACAGACCAAATTGCCACACTACGGATCATCGTTAAGTGAAATTCGTCACTATACATCAACTTCATTGACTATGAGAAGTCGTTTGACAATGTAGATAGGAGAACACTATGGAGTTCCTGAGAAGATTGTCGGCATTATCCGGAACTCATATGACGGACTGCAGTGCAAAGTCGTGCATGGAGGACAGATGACAGATGCATTCCAAGTAAGAAGTCAGATAAGGCTGTATACTCTCCCCCTTCCTCTTTCTTCTGGTGTTTGACTGGATTATGAATACCTCGACATCTGAGGGAAAACACGACATACAATGGACATCTCAGAACCAATTAACCGATTTGGAATTTACAGATGACATAGCCCCCCCTATCTCATATACACGAACAAAGGCAGATGAAGGCATCTAATGTAGCAGTAGGCCTTAACATACACAAACGAAAAAGCAAGATCCTCGAATGCAACGCGAAGAACACCAACCCGATCACACTTGGTGGAGAAACTCTGGAAGATGTAGAATCCTTCATATACCTGGGAAGCATCATCGATGAACTAGGAGGATCAGATGCAGACGTAAATGCGAGAATTGGCAAAGCAAGGGCCGCATTCTTACAATTGAAGAACATATGGAACTGAAAGCAACTTTCAACCAATATCAAAGTCATAATCCCCATTACGAATGTCATGACAGTTCTACTATACGGAGCTGAAACTTGCAGAACTATTACAACTATAATCAAAATATTACAAGTATTTATAAACAACTATCTACGCAAGATATTCAATGTTTGTTGGTCGGGTATCATCAGTAATATTCTACTGTGGGAGAAAACAAACCAGCGTCCAGCTGAAGGACAAATTAGGAAAAGACGATGGAAATGAATAGGATATATATTACGGAAATCATCAAACTGCATCGCAAGGCAAGCCCTGACTTGGAATCCTGAAGGGAAGTGGAAAAGAGGAAGGTCAAAGAACACATTGCGTCGCGAAATAAGAGCAGATATGAAAAGGATGAATAACAGCTGGAAAGAGATAGAAAGGATTGCCCAGGACAGGGTTGGATGAAAAGCGTTTGTGGGTGGCCTATGCTCCTCCATGAAGAATAACAGGTGTAAGTAAGCAAGTATTGTTATTGTCATGAGAGTGTAGATAACTCCATATCATTCTGTTTGTACTCGATCAAGTAATTAAATATGTTTCATTTTTGATAAGTTAGTATTCTTCGTTTACATTTAGACTGATAAATAATGTTGTATGGGTATTGATTATCATTATTTATCTGAACTATACATTTCATAAGGTGTAAACTTTCTATTTGTTTGTTCAGTACTAGGGAATGAAAATTGTTAATTAGTAAAAGTAGCCATACATGAACCCATTCAAATCTATCTGTCTTCATCAGTGAAAGGTCAGTAAACTTAGTAAATTTGTTAATTGGGTTGTGAACTTATATCGACTAAAGTAGTTGAAACGTGCACTAGTCATTTTCAGCCACTGCCTATTCTGATCTGCCTAAGCTGTTTGTATAAAGTAAATTGTTTAAACGTTAGCGATGACCAGAACATGAGTAGATATCAGTTGATAAAATCATTGGCTGTTAATTTAGGCCGTTGGATTTGTCCCAACAATTTCATGTTTCTGTGCTAATGGGATGTGGCAAATTGAACCGATCTACATACGTACCAGGTTCTACTTTACGTTTAACTGACTGACTGAGTTATCCGAACTCAGTAGCTCTGTGGGTAACAAAATGAATGTTTAAATCAGGTGTATGTTCTAGTCCAACTGTGAGTATACATGAGTATTGTAATGCAAATACATCCATCTAACGAGTCTCAAATAAGATATAACATGCGTTCTATATTCGACAATCCATTTATTTTAGATAACTTTTGACAATGGTTATATAGATGTTACCTGCACAGGACAGACACATGCGAATAATGATTGACAAATATCTTACTTACTTACGCCTGTTACTCCTAATGGAGCATAGGCCGCCGACCAGCATTCTCCAGCCCACTCTGTCCTGGGCCTTCTTTTCTAGTTCCATCCGATTCTTGTTCATTTTTCTCATGTCTATTTCCATTTCTCGGCGTAATGTGTTCTGTGGTCTTCCTCTCCTCCTTTGGCCTTGAGGATTCCATGTGAGGGCTTGTCTTGTGACGCAGTTGTGTGCTTTCCTCAATGTGTGTCCTATCCACTTCCAGCGCTTCTACCTGATTTCTTCCTCCGCTGGGATCTGGTTTGTTCTCTCCCACAGTACGTTGTTGCTAATAGTATCCGGCCAACGGATCTGAAGTAGTTTGCGTAGACAATTGTTAATAAACACCTGTATTTTCTGGATGATTGCTTTCGTAGTCCTCCAGGTTTCCGCCCCATACAGTAGAACTGTCTTGACATTTGTATTGAAAATCCTGATCTTGGTGTTGGTTGACAGTTGCTTTGAGTTCCAGATGATGTTCACTTGTAAATATGCTGCTCTTGCTTTGCTGATCCGCGCTTTCACATCTGCATCAGGTCCACCGTGTGACATTAATGATACTTCCCAGATATGTAAAGGTTTTTACATCTTCCAAATCTTCTCCGTCAATTGTGATTGGATTGGTGCATGTTGTGTTGTGTCGGAGAACCTTGCTCTTCCCTTTGTGTATATTGGGACCTACTGCTGCTGAGGTTGCTGCTACACTGGTCGTCTTCTCCTGCATTTGTTGTTGCGTTTGGGATAGAAGGGCCAGATCATCTGCGAAGTCCAGATCGTCCAACTGCATCGTAGATGTCCATTGTATCCCATGCTTCCCTTCAGATGTTGACGTCTTCATGATCCAGTCGATCACCAGGAGAAAGAGAAAGGGTGAGAGTAAGCAACGTTGCCTGACATTGGTCTTTATTTCGAACGACTTTGTCAACTGTCCTCCATGCACGATTTTGCAGTTTAATCCATCATATGAATTTTGTATGATATTGACTATCTTCTGAGGCATGCCGTAGTGTCGAAGAAGCTTCCATAGTGTTGTCCTGTCCACGCTATCAAATGCCTTTTCGTAGTCAATGAAGTTGATGTAGAGTGATGAATCCCATTCAATTGATTGTTCCACAATGATCCGTAGAGTTGCGATTTGGTCTGTACACGATCTATCCTTACGGAATCCTGCCTGTTGGTCACGAAGTTGGGCGTCTACGCAGTCCTTCATCCTGTTTAACAATACTCTGTTTAAGACTTTTCCTGGTATTGAGAGAAGAGTGATGCCCCTGTAGTTATCACAGTTGTTGAGATCGCCTTTCTTCGGTATTTTGATCAGAAGTTCTTCCTTCCAGTCTGTTGGTACTTGTTCCTCATCCCAAATCTTATTAAAGAGAATGTGGAGTATCCTTGCAGTTGCCGCTACGTCTGCTTTTAGTGCCTCTGCTGGAATGTTGTCCGGTCCTGCTGTTTCGCCACTCTTGATTTGCCTGATGGTCATGCTTATCTCTTCAATTGTTTGTGGGTCAACATTGATTGGGAGGTCCGTGAGTGCTGCTTCAATGTTGGGTGGGTTCAGTGGAGCTGGTCGATTCAAGAGTTCTTTGAAGTGTTGTACCCACCTGTTTCGTTGCTCTTCAATGTTAGTGATTACCTTGCCTTCCTTGCTTTTCACTGGTCGTTCTGGTTTGCGACGATTTCCAGAGAGTTTCTTTGTTATGTCATACAGTTGTCTCATGTTTCCTTCTCTTGCAGCCTTTTCCGCCGTCGTTGCTAAATCTTCCACCTATTTACGTTTGTCGGTTCTGATGCTCCTCTTCACTTGTTTGTTTACTTCTGTGTATTCAGCTTGTGCCTTGGCTTTTTCTGCTCTTGTTCGACTGGTATTGATTGCTGCCTTCTTGTTTCTCCTTTCTTGAATCTTATCCAGTGTATCAACAGTGATCCATTCCTTGTGATGGTGCTTCTTGTGACCCAGGACCTCATGACATGTTGAAGTGATTGCCTCTTTGATCCCCTTCCAGTTGCTCTCCACAGTAGTTCCTTCTCCATTGAGTAGATCATGAAAGCCCTGGAACTTGTGGCTGAGGACTATCTTGAATTTGTTGAGTTTGTTAGTATCCTGAAGAAAAGCCGTATTGAACTTTTGTGATATTGTCCGCCCCATTGTCCAGTACTTTTTGAATTTCAATTTCATCTTGGCGACCAGCAAGTGATGATCTGACGCTATATCAGCTCCTCTCTTGGTTCTCACGTCCTCTATAGTCCTCCTGAACGTTTTGTTGATGCAAATATGGTCGATTTGGTTTTGCGTGGTGTGATCCGGTGAAGTCCATGTGGTTTTGTGAATGCGTTTGTGTGGGAATATGGTGCCACCTATGACCAGTTTATTGAAGGCACATAGGTTTGCGAATCTCTCACCATTTTCGTTTCTTTCTCCCAGTTCTTGTCGTCCCATGATGTCTTCATATCCAGTGTTGTCCGTTCCAACCTTGGCATTGAAGTCTCCCATCAGAATGGTCAGCTCCTTTGTTGGGCACTTCTCGATGATTGACTGCAGCCTATCGTAGAATTGATCTTTAGCGTCTTCATTGTGATCGTTGGTAGGCGCATAGCATTGGATGATGTTCATTGAAATGCCCTCTTTCTTTGTTTTGAATGAGGCTTTGATGATTCTTGGTCCATGAGATTCCCATCCTATAAGTGCGTTTCGTGCTTGTTTGGACAGCATCAGTGCAACTCCTTGTGTATGTGGGGCATTTTCTTCTCCATGGCTGGAGTATAACAGAAGCTCTCCTGAAGTTATTCGTTGTTGTCCAACTTGCGTCCAATGTGTTTCACTGATCCCAAGTACCTCTAGGTTGTATCTCCTCATTTCTGCAGCGATTCGGAGGGCTCTCCCGGTGTCCCACATTGTACGAACATTCCATGTACCCAAATAAATGGTCGCTCTGGTTGTCAGAAGGGGCATCGGCCTCGTAACTTCCGAAGGAATTCGGCTTTCATCATGAGGCGTCATAGTTCTTCTAAATGAAGACCTTCTGACTCCCAGGGCATAGTTTAAAAGGTTCGAATAATTTTTCTGGTTGGCGTTTTTTTAGCGAGTTAGTTTTCTACGGGATGGGGACGCTAACCCCATGCCCGACCCTCCTCCTTTATCCGGGCTTGGGACCAGCAGTAGCCTCCGGAGGGACTCCAGGCGGAGTTGATTGACAAATATCTACTCACTAATTTCAACGATGAAGTAACTCAAATCCTTCGCACTAACGATATAACTTGTTCCAATTTTGTCTAGCTAGTGAGATTTTCTGCAAAAAGTAACGTTCAGATGCATAATCTGTCCAGTAAATGTTTGAACTGCGGTTGCAGAAACTTCGTTTTAGAGTTTAGCACACATCAATTTTACTGCCTATTATAATTATATAACTGTCCTGTCTCCATTTCTGTTGTTTGAAATACTCTTGGAAGTCGTCAAAAGTCAGATTTTCCAGCTACCTCACCGTCGTCATGTATTTTTCGAAAATCATTTCTCTCAAATTCAATTTATTTGCTGTCAGAAATTGTGGAAGACTACATACTTTCGATGTTTTCATCAAAACAGAAAGTTGATGATTCTCGTACTCCAAAACCATCCTTGTGATATTACAATTCGTGTCAACGTGCATCTGTTCCAGGTTCTACTTTAACACTGGCTGACGTTTTGAGTAGGTAGATGCAGTTATCTTTTTGAGTAGTAACCTAATGAATAAATCACATATATTTCAGTCATTCGGTTACATATTTGAACCTCTCTTTACTTCGGTTTGAGTAGTTGAGTATTATCAGTAACTTGAACACAGCATGTATGTGACTAGAACATCACATTCATAGACTTCTTGATTATTGAGCATCATAATTTTGCCCTTAACTAATATACGCACAACTGATAGTTCTTTAATCGAATTAGTTAATAGCTTTCATCATTTTTTTTCGTTATTTCAGGTATATGGTTTTGCTGCAACCTATTTTAAACGTTTTTATCTTAATCATTCTGTAATGGACTTTTATCCACGTGATATAATGTTAACATGCTTGTACGTTGCTTGTAAAGCTGCAGATTTCCCAATTGGTCTTCAGACTTTCATTTCGCATATCCCTAGAAATCAAGAGCGATATAGTTATCTGGTTCTCAATTCTGAACTTTTTTTGATGGAATCACTGGGTTATGATCTGTGGGTGTATACACCGTATCAAGCATTAACTGGATTTGTTATCGACTTAGTAGCATATCAGGTGGGAAATTTTTATTATTTTATATATTTAATCGCTTTAATGTCCTATCAAGTGATTTCCTACGGTTGTAGAGTAGCTTCCATCCTGATCCAATAAAGAATTATTGAAAGCTAATGGGCATTCAATAGCAGTTTTGCCTTATTTTCGAACCCCTCGGGAGCACTTATATTCGGGTGGTCGGAGCGTTAATGGGAATAAGTCTTGATAACTTGGTGTTAGTGGTAGAAAGGGTTTGTTTTGGTATGTCAGTCAAATGTATTTTGTAAACGCTGATAGGAATAAAATGAATAGAGCTTAGTTAATAAAATAAGATTACTAATCTGGAAGATAGTTGAAATGAAAATCAATGATGTAATAAATACAAGAAAGAGTTTAACGAAGAAGATGCAACGAGGGAATATTTGTCATCAAGGAAAGGCAAAGCAAAATTAATAACTATCTCCTTTTGAACATACAAGTCACGATTTTGACGCCTGATAGCAACGACTTGAGCGAACTTCAGAAGATTAGAGGTTAGCTGTTTACTAATCACCTTAAAATATTGCAAAGTATCGACCTTATGCCATATGTCAAGGAGATGTTTGGTAATTGTATTGTTTAGAGTCTTTCTTTCACTTATCCTGAGGCTTTCCGGCACATGTTCAGGCAGCCAAACTATTAATTCTGTATAAACCAGCATATTAAATAACTCCATCAAAAGTTGACAAGCACCCCTTTAGTGTTACCACCAACTGGATTTATAAATTTACGTTTACTTGCCAAAGCAGCTACATTGGTCAAACAGAAAGGACGGCATATCCTAGATTTGTTGAACATGTTCCAGAAAGCCTCAGAACAAGTGAAAGACTCTAAACAGTGCGATTACCAAACATCTTCTTGATACAAGGCATAAGGTCGATACTTTGCAATATTTTAAGGTGATTAGTAAACAGCCAACCTCCAATCTTCTGAAGTTCGCTCAAGTCGTTGCTATCAGGCGTCAAAATCGTGACTTGTATGTTCAAAAGGAGATAGTTATTAATTTTGCTTTGCCTTTCCTTGATGACAAATATCCCCTTGTTGCATCTTCTTCGTTAAACTCTTTCTTGTATTTATTACATCATTGATTTTCATTACAACTATCTTCCAGATTAGTAGTCTTATTTTATTAACTGAGTTCTATCCACTCTATATTCCTATCAATGTTTATTCATTATATAATCACTTGTTTCTAGCCGTTTGAACTGTTGTCACAATCAATGTTGTAGAATGTTCTTTCATCACATAAGGTATATATTTACAATATTCAGTCTATTAGATTTATTTGCACCCTTGCTATGTTATACTAATGTGTCATCAATATCACTTCCAACCAAACCCTTTCATATAAGTTATTGAAATCCATTATGTAATTATGATTTTTAAATATCACAGGTTGTAAGTAGTTGACGAGGACTAAGCGGAATAAAATGAATTTATGCTATTCTGTTAGAATCTTTGTTCTTGCTCTTTTCGAATTGATATAGGGAACTATGAGAATGAAATAATAGTTCTCCCTGCATTACTCTGGCTATAAAACATTGCATGTATGATAGTAAAAGATATGCATAAGTTGAGTGGCTTTTACCATAGCTTTCTGTGAAGCACTGCCCGCGTATCAAGGACTGAGTGTGTGACCAATGCTAAGGTAAGGTACATGGAACTAAACAAAATAGTACTTCGTAAAATGAACTGGTAAATCTCCATCGACTAATGTGTCCAGGATACTTCTTACAGAAAATTACTTACCCTCTTCCTCTATGTGTAGTGCTTACTGATACAGGAGGTTGTAATACTTCAAAAACTTGTTCTCCGTCTGGTTAAAAGTTGAGTAAACAAAATTAACTTTGTTTTTCTTTCTTTTTATGTTAACTGTTTTCTGTTATTCATTTCTGGCTACTTTTTTTATATATGTAAGCTATCTATTTTGATATGCAGGTTGCTATGTCGTCACTTTGACTGACCAATTTTCTCCTTTTATCTATTTAGAGACGAATTTGTGGTGCACGTTCTGATTCCTATCTTCTAGAGAATCGATCCGATGCTCAGCTCGTTGATGAGTTATGTAAGGACGGTGTAAATTTGATAAATTTATGGTATCAAACTGACTTGTGCCTCACAGCTCATCCAAGTCAGTTCGCTCTTGCTGTCCTAGTGGAACTTGGACATACTCGGCCTCAGTTGGATGTAGAAGTTTTCGTCAGAGATGAACTATGTGGTTGTGACCCAGTACAGAAGTTTAAACAACATTCGGAAGAGGATGATGGTGACGAAGGAGACATAAAACCCAAGAAGGATACCAAATGTGACCCTGACACTCGTTGGCAGGAACTGTCTAGTCGTTTAGATTTTATCCGTCAAACAGTCGATGAGTTTCAGTTTATTACTGAGTTAGGACCTGTTGGTGAGGAAGAGGTAATTCTAGATGAATGTCGAAATCCTCTGTATAATATTGAATCTGACGAGTATGCACAAGCTAAGTCAAAGGCGGATAGCCTAATGGCTACGCTTGAATAATAGTAATAGTCGTACCTGTACTGTATATATGCCATGTATAATTCACATTTACTTTTCTATTTTGGAAATTGTGTGTAATTACAGGTTGTATTCACTAGTTTATCTTTTGTCCTGAATATCTATTTCTTATAAAATCTACCTCTCGTAAACTCACTTTATTATTCCTTTTTCCTTTTGAGTAAAGCAGTGTCAGCTTTAGGGATCAACGAATTTCCTTTGGTCGCTTTCGTAACGTACTGTGCTCTTTGTTTCATAAAGTCCAATTTTGTGACAGTCGCTGGACGATAGCTATGTTTCCTGAAATTCGATAATAAATTACCAGCTAAAACGTACCCATAAGCACGTTGATAAGAACATCTGACATAACAGGCAGGTCGGTCTTCCAATAACTGACAGATGAATGACGCTAGCCACTGTAGTTCTCTCCAAGACTTGGCAAAATCTAGCCCGTTCGTGGACGAACATATGTTGACAATCCAAATTAGTGTGTCTATAGTCTCGAATTTCTGACCAAGAAGTTGTGAATTTCGTCAAAAGAAGTAACCAGCTACAAAATATATTGATACATCACATTTTGTATGTGGTTTGATTTGCCTTTACCATTTTGTACTTAGAAACAATATTCATAATCTTCTGATCAGTCATGACCGTCTTCGTTGTCAGTATATCCCGTTGATATGCCGAATGGTTCGCAACCACCCAGCACTCATGTAGTAAGTCGTCTTCAGTAGAGCCCCAAAAACAAGCTAATTATGAGTTTCGGTCTATGATCTTAACTATCACAAAAGAAAAATTTGTGTAGCAAACGTGTTGAAAGATTAGCTTTACTTCTCAGACTGAACCGTACAGCTAAAAACTTGGAGAGGCCGAATGGGCTTGTTGCGGCTGTGCAGTGGATATTTTTGTTAAACAATGAAACATAGTTTCACTTGCTTCCCAAGTTTCCTTTCTAAAATACGGTAGTGTCTTCTGATGTAGCGGCTGTCGTAAGTATAGAGCGACGAGTACTTGGTCGTAGTCTTCGAATTTCGTCACCAAAAATCGTACAAGCACCTGTAGCGTGGAGTCGAGTGGAGATTGACTATAAACACCGCTACCAAGAAACTCGTTCCAAATGACTCCATAAAATCCCCGAGAAGCCAAATATCAGAAGGCAATTAATGGACCAAGTCGAGGTTTATTTGCTGGCGATCTCGTGGCATCGAAAGGATACCGAGATCGTGCCAGGATACAAGCTTGGTTACAGAACGTAACCGAATTTGCGCGAAGTTACAATCGAAGTGTGTAAATATGAATGGAAGCACAATATAGCTGTCATTAGCACAGTCAAACAAAAGCACATTAAGACAAGCACTGGTACAGTTGGTTATAATAATAATTGTTTTTATTAAACCAGTCGTGTTCTCGTGATAAATATGAGTCACTACACACCTATCATTTTTGCCTACTGTAGGACCAGTATATCCACAGGATTATGGTAGTGGGATCCGGAGCGAATGATTTAGCTACATTCAGCTCTAAGTGACTTGAAGCAATAGTAAGGGGGGTCTTGTGCGTCAAATATAGAGAGCTTTAGCAGGTTATGTGATGCCATTGAAGATCTTATTAAAACCGATGTATAGAATTATCACTGACTGACCAACCCCACTTTGCTGAGTAATTTGGTCAGACGTCAAGTGCTGTGTAAAGCATGATCGTATAGTTATGGACTAGTGCCAAGGTGGGCTAATTAGGCTTGCAGAAAGTGAAAATGATAACAGCTATTTGTGGATGATTCTTGACAGCACAGATTTCAAGGTAATGACCCTAAGTAGTCCTGTTTTGAATCTGGGGATGATAAGCTGTGTTTTCCATACAAACGGATAGACTTCATCGTCCATAGATTTTACAGTTCTAAACAGAATAATAGAAAATCTGTACTACCGTATTTCACGGATTATGCAGGGACCCCATCAGGTCCACCGTCATAGGATATTTTAGGGCTGTTATGGCATTTTGATGTTGGTGAATGTGGAATCAACAGTATATGGACGCTTAGATGTCATCGTTGGAAGCGTACTGATAAGAGTTTTGTGCTGTAGCATTGAGAGAAATGGCGGCTGAATTATTCACAAGTAGTATCAGGGTCGCCAACAACGCTGCCGTTAACTATGAAGAATCTGGTTGTGACAAGGGAATTCGATTTCACATGGGATTTGAAAAGCCGAAGTACTGATAGCTCGAGGTTTTAACAATGTAAGGCTTTATCCTCCATAGATATAAGATGAGTCATCTCTGCCAGTCAAGTTAAGCATACTTCGTAGCCCATACACGTAATTGTGCATGTACTAGCTCTGCTTCAATTTCCACAGCTTTCTCTTGAAAGTATGTTGGCCTCTGTTAGCATTATAAACCACATGGTCGACAACTGCCTGCCTTGGCACATCGTGTGAGCTTTAGAGTTCAATGATATAGTGTTTGGAGAATGAATGTCACTCATCACGATTCTTTGATCACTCACAAAAAATCCACCAATGACGAGCACCGAGGTAGGGTTGATATTGATTGCAAACGTCTGATCAAGTATATTATTCCTTATAATCGGCTTTCGAACATGTTGGACCCATCCACAAAGAACTATCATTTCAACTGTTGTGACTGCAAGTTAGATGCGCAGAGAATTATCGATCGATTACAGTGACACGTAAGGACGACCTAGAGTCCCGATTGGCCCTGCTTTGCTGTCTAGCCCAGCCAGTTGAGTCCATAACACAAGTCACAGCCTCGGAGATATGAATAATTATATTTCAGACATACTCTATTTATATACCAAAGAAACAAACCACATCGTACCATAAAACAGAAAACAATATTTGACAAGCGATATAAATATCGACCAATAGGAAATGTCCATTTAACGTCCAAGGACACCATTCGACTTAACACGACAATTATTGGTATATTCCTCTGCATACCTAACACAACTAACTTGATATATCGTCCCGGTACCTAGGTCGAATTCCATTTAATGTCCGGCAGATTAAAATCACCTCCGATGCTTTTAAACGTGTGCAGTTGGTGAGAAACAATTAAAAATATGTTTGTAAACAGTTTGTCAAAGTATCCACGTGAGGTGTGTAGAATCCAAAATAAGGTTTGGACTGGAAAATAACTGTCTAGGTAGTTTAAATACGCTCTATTGCTCAGTTGAAACCAAAACAAGGTGATTGGGTAAATGACGGTTCTAGATTTCGTCATAAGTAGAAATGTACATCATTACCTAAACAAATATTAACACTGAGTTACTCAACCAATAATTGTTCAGTTAATCAAATCTAAATTAAACAAACAAGTTGGTAAAGAACGTTACACACTTCCTTGTGTAACTCTCAAGGGACTACTTTCAGACCATGTTAAGTGTACAAATTTTGAATAATGTAAAGGATGAAAGTTTCATAAAATGGTTCGTCAGAATATCAAGAATTTCACTACATTACTACGTCATTCTAATCTAATGCGTATTCAAGTTTATGCATGTAGCATCTTATTAAGGAGTTGCGAAGATGTGCACAAGTTTGGTAGATGTTTGTCCTGTGGCAAATTTTATCCATGTAGTTCCTGTATATTTCGTAATGATAAATGCTGTAAATGTGGTATTACTAATGTTCATTTAGTTGCAGATAATGCTAAACTTTGTAATTTCGACCCTACTTAGTTCAATGTTTAAAAATTATATTCTGGTCAGATTCATAGTGTTATTTTGCCATGTATACGTTGTTCTCATGATTCATCTATTCCTAATGAAATTATTTCCAAAAATGTGATAGGTGTATCTAGTGCACCTAATCCTGATCAGAACTCTGATGTTAATTTATATGAAGTCGTTTTTTCAAATAAAATATTGGTTAAATGTGAGGGACAATTTCTAAATAAGTTAAACTCTGGTTACTGTCCTGACGGTGTCTCATCAGATGTTATTTGTTCTCACAATAGACTTATATATGATGATATTTCTAATGAATGTGACAAATATGTTCCGAATGAGTCGGACTCCAGTCACATTTCTGATGTTATCGTATCAGATTTTGGATATTCTCACAATCAATGTATCATTATTCACAAACAGCTTGTGGATACATAAGTATTGTGTAGAAACCACTTTTCGTCTATTTAGAAATGCAATAAAACACAAGTTTCATTAATGTTGGCATAATATTTACCAAATTAAAAAAAACCGGTTCTGTGCATTTGAGAAGAATATTGAGTTAACTTTATAAAAGAGAATGAGGGAAAATAAGAGAATTTGAAAAGGACAATGGTATTATTCCTCGTCGAGTCAAATCTACAGTTTTGATTGTAAATTACGCACCAAAACTACTGTTCATGCTTTAACTGAATATATTTCAGTGAAAGTGATATTGTACCTGTGTGTTTTGACTTTGCTTGTGCGCATTTATTGTATCGTAGCATACCTGATGAACTTTGACTTGATTTATTCGGTTAAGGTTTGAAATTATGTTTTTATATATCCATTTTTCTGTCACTATTTTTAGTTAACTTTTAAGACGGCTGGCTCTGCTCACATACGTGGACAACCATAGTGCAAATTTTCTGTGGAAGAAAGAATGCAGTATAATGTGTAAGAAGTAGTTTCATAAGTGTGTACCCGCTTAAATCCCTTACTTTCTTACTTACTTACGCCTGTTACTCCTAATGGAGCATAGGCCGTCGACCAGCATTCTCCAGCCCACTCTGTCCCGGGCCTCCTTTTCTAATTCCATCCGATTCTTGTTCATTTTTCTCATGTCTATTTCCATTTCTCGGCGTAATGTGTTCTGTGGTCTTCCGCTCCTCCTTTGGCCTTGAGGATTCCATGTGAGGGCTTGTCTTGTGACGCAGTTGTGTGCTTTCCTCAATGTGTGTCCTATCCAATTCCAGCGCTTCTTCCTGATTTCTTCCTCCGCTGGGATCTGGTTTGTTCTCTCCCACAGTACGTTGTTGCCAATAGTATCCGGCCAACGGATCTGAAGTATTTTGCGTAGACAACTGTTGATAAACACCTGTATTTTCTGGATGATGGCTTTCGTAGTCCTCCAGGTTTCCGCCCCATACAGTAGAACTGTCTTGACATTTGTATTGAAAATCCTGACCTATAAAAGGTGCTCTAGGCCTAA